CTGGGGGTTGAGGGTGGAATTTAGCTCCTTATAACTGAAGGAACATGGCTCAGGCATCGTACTCCAGACAGTTCTCAAAGCGGGTGTTTGGAGTGTTCCTAGCTGTTGTTTTACTGGAGTCCTGGGGTAGTCGCTTATGACTTTGAGAGCTGCTCATCCGCCAAGTGTTCTCGGCCTTGCTGCTACCTGAAATAGAGAAATCCGCCTGTTCATCCTTCCGATAACATGAGAACCAGGGGAAACTCACAGCCTCACTGCACGTGGGGGTGTGATTGCAGCAGGTGTGTGGGCATAGCCCCACTAGCTTTAATCTAGCTGGCAAGGAGCAGCCACTCTCCTACATTAGCGCAGGTTACGCAAGACGCCCGGAACCCTGGTTCCATGTTTGCATTCTCCGCCTGTGCCAGTTATGCTGAAATTGCACCCGTGTAACTGAGACCTAGATCTGGCCCCAAATCTGCAGTTCACTGCTAGCTAGGATCCAGTTATTGGGGCTCTTGATCCGCAGGCTTCTAGGAAACATGTAGACACCCGCTGGAGTCAGGAAGCCACTTCCATTCTGTGACACCACATGGCACAATCGGTTGTATCAGGAGGCTGTTGCGGCTCCTTTGGAGTCAGCTGGACCTGGCCACTCTTGGAAACAGGACTGAAGATTTGTTAGGCCCTTGGTCTGACCCAGTGTAGCAATTCCTATGTTTCTGGTTGTAAATTAGTTCTTAAAAAGGTGGTTCGGTGGTCAAATCTGTTCCGACATGTGGTGACTCACTTCCGCTGTCTGGGGAGCCAGCGGGAGCGCTGGTTTGCTGCATTGTGCTCTTTGTAGGAAACGGAGGAAATCAACACCCTTTATGTGACTTGCTCTTGTAACAGATTTAAGTCTCTAACCTTAGATCGCACCAGCCTAGGGATGTTAAAGGCGTGTAATTGGCTACCCATGTAATTGCTGAAACCGGTTACACGTGGGGTGGCAGCCAGCTTCCTGGGAGCTGGTGTGTGATGCTGCCTCTGTATCAGAGGCAGCAGTGTGGGGTGGCAGGCAGCTCCCAGAAAGCTGGTGTGCACTGCGAGCTGGCTTTGAAGCCAGCGCCTGTCGAGTACCAGCTCCCGCCTGCTACCACACTCCTGGGGAGCCAGCTGGTACAGGAATAGCAGCCGGGAGCTGAACTGAGAGCTGCATATAGCCATTTGGTTCATGCTTATCCATTACCCTTTTAAATAGCTACATCCTTACATCCCTACACAAGCTTTGGATGTTGCATCTTTGGGTATAATAAGGATACGTGTCAGCAATTTATAGAGAGTTAATCACTGATGAATACAGGCCATAAACATTCTATAAGCAAGTCAGTAGAAGGTTTGATTGATTATTACAGTAAAAGCTTTGTTATCCGGCATGCTGGAGGACTTCGTCAAAAATTCCAGTTAACAATTATACTTAGCAACAGAATACCAGTTTTCAAAGCATTAGAATGCAATCAAATGAATAAAGTATAAAATAGCACCAGGTACTGGCCAATCCAGTACTGCACTGCACTGCAGTGGGTAGGTTTCTGGAAGCGCTTCGGTGTAGAAAGATAAAGCTTTCTATACAGCAGGTTATCTCGTGACACTGAATATCACTATGGGCACTGCACGGCATACACCCAGCTCACTAACATTAAACTGTAGTGGACATAATTGAACCTTTCCTTGACGGCTCAGGAGCCACGTCGGGATCTCGCAGTGCCTCGGCGTCGTCATTGTCAACATCAATGATTATGGTGGGTGTAGCCAATATAGGAGATTGAGCCTCATCTGGCCCTATGAAGCTGTTTTTATTCCTAAATCCCGTACATCAGATAGCTTACGTGTTTTCTGCATCCTTTATATAAAAGGGGAATGTGCAATTACATAACTTGTTGGGCAACATACTCGTCTGGGAAGCTAGATTGAAGATTTGAAAAAGGAGCTATCAGTATGTCAGTTACTAGAGATTTTTAGTTCATCAGGTGCTGGATAACACAACTTTTACTGTATATGCCATAGAGCTTCAAACTCTGGGCAATGGGTTGTAAGGGCAAGCTGCTAGCTGGCTGCAAGACGCTTTGTTTATTGGAGTTCCCACAGGTACAGGTGATCACAGCTCTCAGTGGCCA